AATAGCATGTCTCGCTGCACCGTGCCTTGCTCCCTCCGCTGCCCATGGGTGTCTGGGCTGGTTCCAAAGGTGCTTGACCTCGGAAGGTCCAGGGGAAAAGCTGAGCATGGCCAGCATGGGGGAGACAACGCTTCCTTCCTGTTTCCAATTTCTGTGCCTCTTAATTGCTGCCAGTCTTCGGGGGAGTGAGGCTCCGGCTTGCCTGCCTGCTGCTCGGTTGCCTTGCAGGAGTGCAGAAAGCCAGCTAAAGATGGCATTAAGCACTCGCATTAGGCCGTGGAGGAGCTGCCCGCGGTGCTCCGCTTAATGAGGCGCTCAATAGCAGCTGAGACGCACTCTGCCTTCTCCTGACACGTTGGGGAGCCCGCCACAGCAGAGCTGGAGTTTTGTTCCGAGGAGCTGGCTCACAAGGAGGGAGGACAGTAGAAAGGGGAGGGGGTCAAGGGGCCGGCATCGCTTGTGAGAGGCAGTCAGCGAATGTAGACAGGTTGCCAGGGTAAAGCATGCAGCCCAGCCCAGTAGAAAAGGGTTCCATACAGGCTCATCACATCGAGGGGATCATAGAAACCAAGGCTCTGTCTCCTCTGAGGGGAAATTAAAGTTCCTGTTGTGCGTCTCACATAAGCCTAATGTCTTTGACCAACACCTCCCCTCTGCACTGCACTGTGTGCTGGAGAGTTTGCCCTAGCCCCCAGAGGTGAATCCCAGAAGCTGGAGACAGGAGAGACATAATGCAGCACCCAGCCTCTCCTCCAGCCAGTGCAGACTTGTTCCCTAAATTCATTAGTCTAGCAAGTGCTTTGTCCTGTTCAGTATTAGCAATCCCAACTAATTTCCACTGCTTCCCCAGGAAGGCTAGTCTGAACCTAATACTTCTAGGAAACACTCCTGCACTCTGCTGTAGTTAGGGTTGCATTGCTTTCTGTTTAAAGGTCGACTCTTCTAAGTCCTCTAAAATTTAGCTTCTTGCACAGATTATCTTGAAATTGGTGGTATCTTATGGCAGTGCTAGGTAGTGGAAGTGGTACAAATTTGTAGTCCTTTGAGAAAGGGGTTTCTGAGATACAGCCCCTTGGAAAAAACTGGTTTCAGAGTAGCAGCTGTGTTAGTCTGTATTCACAAAAAGAACAGGAGGACTTGTGGCACCTTAGAGACTAACCAATTTATTTGAGCATGAGCTTTTGAGAGCTGCTGTAGCTCATGAAAGCTTACGCTCAAATAAATTGGTTAGTCTCTAAGGTGCCACAAGTCCTCCTGTTCTTTTTGGAAAAAACTGTATTTTACAAAACCATTTTGTTCTCCCAATAGCTTAAAGGCTGCCTCTCTGAATGTCATTTGATTACTCTGTGATAGCCATATATGACTCTATGGGAATGGTTCCTTTCCCCCCCTTGCAATATTTGTAAGCTGTTCTCATGTGCACCCCCTTAACCAGGTTCTATATAATTTAACTCTTTCAATTTTTCCTCAAACATCAATTTCTCCAGCCCCGAATCCACTTTTGTTGCTTTACTCTAAACTTCCAGCTTGGGAGCATTCAACAGCGATCTACATACCAGTAGCCGAGTACTAGTGGGATGGAGGTGCTATACAATAATAAGATAATATTTACTTATTAATACAAATCCTGGGCCATGTATATTTCAGACCCATGAAAATTAGGGGGCTAATTTATCTGCTGCAGCCAAGTTCTCCTTGATGTACCAGTATGTGTGTGGTGGGGGTGTCTGTCAGGGAACTGATAACAGCTCCCTGATTCTTTTCCCAGATTTGGTGTAGGTTAGAGCAACCCCCAGGGGACCGAATGCCAGCTGGGGCACAGCACAGTCCTACTCTGCTTTCTCCCTCCTGCTCCCCATCTCCAGCACAGCCCCTGCCCCTGGAGAAGCTGGCTGGAGAGGAGGTAGAGGCTGGCTGTGCCTGCTCTCTGCCTACTGGGGACTCAGGCAGTGCAGAGGGAGCAGAGAGGGGCAATGAATATGCAGTATGGATTTCAGGAGACGTAACCAAAACTCAGCTTGCTTCAGGATCATTTCCTCCTAGAGTTTGCCTCTGACAACGACATGAAATGCTCCCTCTCCTAGCCCTTCAGTTTTAATCCCACCTCTCTTCCTAAACACACACTGTGGAAGCACCTCCTGATCACACCTGGCTTGCTGCACGTAGCCCTTCCTAGCAGCAGCGAGACACTCTCGAAGGCTGTGAGAGGCTGTTCAGTTACATTCTGCTTCCGGAGGTGTCACTGGGGAAACCTCATCTGCTTTAAAGCAGACATGAATCAGCCACAAGGGCATCACTGGCAGAAGCATGGGAAGATATGCTGAATTTAATTCTGTCCTATGCTGAATTTAATTCCGCCTGCTGAGGTAGAAAGAAGAGCTTAGAGCATTGAGAAGCAACCCTTCAGTGGCACGCACAGCTGCTGTGACACCAATGTGAGCTGTCCTTTTCTTCTAGCCTTAGTCCCATCTATATGGGGTGGGCTCTGAGTCCTCCTCCTCCATTCTAGTCTGTCTTGAAGCAGTTCTTCGGAAACTCCACAAGTCTCTTGTGTGATATCCATCCATCTTGCTTTGAGTCTTCCAACCCTTCTCTTACATTGAGAAGTGGACAGTAACAACCTGTTTCCTGTATATTCTTTTGATCTTCTCTTCACATGCCCAAATGATCTAAGCCTGGACTCTTTCAACTTTTCTGTAATTGGTACCATCTTCACACTTCCCCTAACTAGTTCATTCTGAACATGGCTCATCATTGTAACTCCAAGCATCCATCTTCACATTTTCATTCCCACTGTGTTCAAGATCTTCTCCTGTCTCTTCCTCAGTGCCCAGCATTCAGAGTCATACAAAAGTGCAGGCCTGATGAGTCTTATCGATCTTACTTCACAATTTGATAGGCCTGGGAGTGATCTACGATACTGATTATACATGACCACAGCGAGCACACTTTTTAATGTATTCCTTTCCACAACACCTGTGAGGCAGAAAGTATCCCCCACCCATTTAAGGGGGAGCTCTGAGGCCCAGAGAAACTGAGGCCCAGAGAAACTGAGGCCTTGTCTACACTAGAAAGGGTTTGCTGGTATAGATATATTGGCAAGAGACTTTAAACCAGTTCCCCAAACACACTAAGCTCTGCTGCTCAAAGGACTCTTTGCTGGTATAACTGTGTCTGCTCTAGGGTTTTTGTAAACATAGCTCTCTCACTTCTGAGATAGCTATTCTGGCAAAACTTAGTGTAGACCAGCCTAAATCAATGGGGTCAGGCACCTTAATGCCTTCTGAGCATATGGGCCTTAGTGAGTTGCCGTAGGCCACCCGAGAAGCCTGTACCAAAGCAAGGACTTAACCCAGGTCTCCCGAATCCCATCTTTTCTCATGGAATAGCAGCATAGCTCAGAATGTATCCAGCTCTGGGGATGTCAGTGTCAGGAAGATACCAACAAACTAGAGGGACCTCTGTGAAGAGCAACAACAAAGTCAAACAATGATCAGAGGGCAGGAGGGGTTGGCATACAAAGAAAGATGAGGAGTGAAATCTTAGATAGCTTGATTAAATGATCAAGCAGGCACAGACTTGGCCACAAGTCCTTGAAAGGTGTGAACCCCAAGGAGCGAGGAGTGGACTGAGGTGGAAGGCGAAGGTAACAAGGAGCGAGAGATTAAATTCAGCAAAAGGAAACTATATAGATTCATAGATATTAAGGTCAGAAGGGACCATTATGATCTAACCTCCTGCACAATGCAGGCCACAGAATCTCACCCACCCACTCCTGCGATAAACCTCTCACCTATGTCTGAGCTATTGAAGTCCTCAAATCATGGTTTAAAAACTTCAAGGGGCAGAGAATCCTCCAGCAAGTGACCCATGCCCCATGCTATAGAGGAAGGCGAAAAACCCGCAGGGCCTTTTCCAATCTGCCCTGGAGGAAAATTCCTTCCTGACCCCAAATATGGCGATCAGCTAAACCCTGAGCAAATGGGCAAGATTCACCTGTCAGATACCCAGGAAAGAATTCTCTGTAGTAACTCAGATCCCACCCCATCTAACATCCTATCACAGGCCATTGGGCCTATTTACCATGAATATTTAAAGATCAATTAATTGCCAAAATCATGTTATCCCATCATACCATCTCCTCCATAAACTTATTGAGTTTAATCTTGAAGCCAGATAGGTTTTTTGCCCCAACTGCTTCCCTTGAAAGGCTATTCCAGAACTTCACTCCTCTGATGGTTAGAAACCTTTGTCTAATTTTAAGTCTAAACTTCCCGATGGTCAGTTTATATCCATTTGTTCTATGTTGAGTATAAGGAAACATTTCTGATGTGAGGTAGAGTGTGAAATAGTCTCCCAACAGATGTGTCTTTTAGAGCTAGACAGGAGAATGTACCGCAGGGAACAATCCCCCAGTGTGTGATTGGAAATGTGTGTGATGGGGGGAAAGAGACGATCCATATAAGAGGTCTTTGCCAGCAGTGAAATGAGCAACCCACCCCACCATTCCCACTGTCTGGCTGTTGATCTATACAGAGCTGGGTATTTTTTTTTCTCCAGGCAACAGCTTGCTTTATGCTGACCTCCTAAATATTCAGCTCATTATACAGTATCATGTATAAATAAAACAGAGCAGGCAGAAGTGGTCTCCAGGAGGATATAATCGCCTTCCTTTTCTTTATAATTAAACAGGATTTGTCTCCATGTGTCAGGCTAGCCTCTGGGCTAATTTATTGTTTTAAGGAATTAGATACTGGGTGCTGGGCACTCATGAGTGATTCTAAATGGAGCTGGGTCCTGCATGCCTCTGGAATTCAAAGACCCCTTCCCCCGGTATCAGGGGTGTTCTGTGGTGGTGTGGGCATGGGGAGGCATTACAGCAATAGGGAAATTCGTATCTGGGTATAGTTTTGTATTTCAGGCATGCGTGCGCACATGTTTTAGGAGTGTTTGGATCTGGAGAACTCATGCCTCACAGTATGAAATTGCTTCTCATGCAGCTCCCACGCTTATCCAGGCTGGTGAGAAACTGGACCAGAGTGCTCTGCCTGCATTGCCTCAGCTTGGCTTTAGGCAGAGCGAGCAGAGAGCCGGGCCAAGGAGAGCTTCCAGCTCCAAGCAGGGTGGGGTGCACTGAGCCAAATAGACATGGCTGTGAAGGATGCCCGGTGCCCCTCCCGCTACTTCAGCACAAGCGGTGGAGGCCTGTACCTCAGTGCCTACATTCCTAGGTTCTCTCCCTGTGGATGACTCAAAAGGTATGTCTCCACTGCAATCAGGAGATGGGATTGCAGCAGATGTAAGCGTCCCCAAGCTAGCTTGCTTAAAAAGAGCAGTGAAGCTGTGGTGGCACGGGCTAGCTATCAAAATACAAGCCTGCCTGGGACCTGGCCGTGTACTCAGGTGGCTAGCCTGTGCTGCCATGTCTTCACGGCTATTATTGCTGGAGCTGGCTCAATCAAAGCTAGAATGGGTATGTCTTAGGGTCGCCAACTTTCTAATTGCACAAAACCGAACACCCCTGCCCCGCCCCTTCTCCGAGGCCCTGCTCCCCACTCACTTACTCCCCGCATCCCATTGTCACTCACTCTCCCTCACCCCCACTCACTTTCAGTGGGCTGGGGCAGGGGGTTGGAGTGTGGGAGGGGTATGGGCTCTGGTGGGGGTGCAGGCTGTGGGGTGGGGCCAGAAATGAGAGGTTCAGGGTACAGGAGGGGGCTCTGGGCTGGGGCTGAGGGGTTCAGAGTGTGGGAGGGGTCTTAGGGCTGGGGCAGGCGGTTGAGGTGTGGGAGGAGGTGCGGGCTCCGGCTGGGGTGTGGACTCTGGGTTAGGGCTGGGGATGAGGGATTTGGGTACAGGAGGGGGTTCCGACCTGAGGCAGGGGATTGGGGTGTGGGAGGGGGTGTGGGGTGCAGGCTTCAGGAGGGGACTCAGGGCTGGGGCAGGAATGCAGGCTCTGGAAGGGAATTAGGGTGCAGGAGGGGGTTCCAACCTGGAGCAGGGGGTTGGAATGCGGGAGGGGGATTGGGGCATGGGCTCCAGGTGGGCGGTGCTTACCTCAGGTAGCTCCCAGTTGGCAGTGCAGCAGGGCTAAGGCAGGCTTCCTGCCTGCCCTGGCTCCACGCTGCTCCCGGAAGCTGCTGGCATGTCCCTGCGGCCCCTAGGTGGAGGGGCCACGGTGCTGTGCACGCTGCCTGCCCCCGCAAGCGCCACCCTCTGCAGCTCCCATTGGCCGGGAACCACAACCTTCATTTAAATCAGGCCATTTTCTCCCCTTCCAGTCTTGTTATGGAGAGGGGGATCCGGTAGTGAGTTTTTGCCATGCCCACTGATCCTGCAGATGGAGATAGGGCTAGCTTGTGGCTTGGTATTCCTGGAAAAGCAATACCCAAGCATTAGCTTGCTTTCCTTACACTAGAAGCTGACTTTGATCATTGGCAGAACTGGCACCTTTCCTGACCATTTCAGCAGAGGCCAAAGACTGAGCAGGCCATGGGCACTGAAGGAGGACAAGAGAGGAAGAAAGAGCAGATAGCTCTGGAAAGGAAGTCACAGTAGAATGCAGGGTGAGACAAAAGAAAAGGGGATATGATTGCAAGGAGAGAGAGCAGCATGAGGCTGGGTGTGGGAGGAGGAAACTGGGATAGCAGGAGCCAGACACATGTTGGTTGGGGGATGTGGATCCTGCTCCCTGCTAGCCTCCCGAGGGCACTGTGGAGAGGGGGCAGGTTAGAGGGAGGACATGCAGAGATGAGCCCATGCTGCACCCACAGTATGGGTAACAGGGTGGTGGCTGCCGCATCCCCAGAATACTGAACATTCCGGTACTTCCAGAAACAGCGTGACCCCTCCCTCACTGGTGTGACCTTGCACGCACCACGCCGCCTGGACAGAGCCATTTTGAAGACTGTGCCACCTTGCTCCCACTGCTGTGACCCTGCATGCCCGGTGTGAGTGAAGTCATGCTGCGTGGACAAACTCATTTTGAAGAGCGCTCCGCCAATACTCCTATGACTTGGCACACATGGTGCGTGCAAGGTCGCGTCGCACGGAGAATGACATTCTGAAGAGCACCCTGCCCCCACCAGTGTGACCTTCCACGCACACTGTGTATGAGATGGCAGCACGCTCTTGATGATGGCATCATCCATATGGCATGACTTCACACGCTCTGTATGTGCGAGATTACGCCGGTGGGAGCGGGGCGGTGCACTCTTCAAGATGGCATCCCCTGCCTGTGATACTGGACAAAACCAGACTGGGAACACAACCATAGAAAGAGGACTGTCTGGCTGAAAACCAGAGCAATGGCCTGCCGTGGTAGTGCTCCTGCCCTGGTGGGGCTCCCAGCGAGCCCTCAGGAAGAAACGATTCATCCAGAATTCCTGCTGGGGAGTACCACTGTTCTGAGGTACTCCTCTAATGGACATGCAAAAGGCACAATCTAGCCCAGTGGGAGCAACAGGCCGAGAAGAGAGGGCAGAGTGCAGGAGTGAGAGAAGGAGAGATGAGTGTGGGCGGGAGCAGAGCCTTTGCAAGGAGGACAAGGAGTGTGAACTTTAGGCGGGAAGAGACTGGGCGGCAGTGATGAGACTGAAGGAGGCCACATAGAGCCTGATGCGCGTCTTTCCATTGGTTTTGGCTCAGACCCATGGAGAGGTGAGAGAAGATGAAGATTTAGCACCTAAATTCTGGATTGAAGGAAGCCAAAGAGCAGGGGGGCAGGACAGGGAGGGGAGGTGGTTATTGCCTCTGGGAATAAGTAAGAGACAAGTTTCCTGAGGAGCCCAGACAGACCTCACTGCCCCACTGATACAATGCGAGGTGATGTATAGACGTTTTCTGTTTACCTTCTTAGGAAAGGGAGTAGCTCGTGTGTGTCTCTGGGAGCATGCAGTGGTCATTGGCAAGATAAAAGCATTAGAGCAAGTGTTTTGAGGTTCTCTGGAGAGCCCGGCTGCAGGACAGACTTTGCAGGAAAGCATCTTGCTTTAATTAGCTATTTCGATGAATATTCTATTTTAAAAGGGGTTTTCCCCACACTGTCAGGGGCAAGATCAATTTCTGATTTGCAACTCCTCATGCATCAAAGATCCCCGCTCTTCCACAGAGGCTGGGGTGGGGTGTTGGAGACGTCCCCAGCAGGCCCTAGCCCACTGTTCATTCCACCTGGATCATGGGCTTGAGGACTTTTGCTCTATCACGCTTGCTAAGGCGAGGCTGTGAGTTGCATTGGGATCCAGGCTTGCTACATATAGAGAAGAACCACACAGCCCACAAAACCAACACACAGCCTCCCTATAAAAGTCCCAGCAGGGTCAAAAGACTGATTGCTTTAAAGGTGAATGATAACTTGGAGCCAGCACCTCCCAGAAGCTGCCAAAAACTCTTTCAGAACAGAAGTTTGATGGGGTGTTCATCATACCCATGCTATGAAAGGGTTAATATGGCCCAGGGAGGCCAGTTAACCAGCCTGCTGGCACCTGGAGTAATTTAGAAATAAAGCCCAGCTGGGGCAGAGCAGGGCGTGTTTCCATAAGGAGCTGGGTTGGAGAGTGGAGATGGAGAGTTCCCTTTCTCTGGGAAGCACCCTGAAAGAAGGTGAGCAGAGCGGACGAGACAGGCTACCCCAGGGGTGAGCTGAAAGCCTGTCTGGTGCTAGGGACTCTGAGGAGCTCTAGCTGGCCTGAACCCTGGAGCACATCAGCTGCTGGGCTGTAGAGTTTGAGGCATAGAAGCATATGGCTCAACAGGAAGACTATCCAGAGCAACAAGGTTTGGATTTTGTATATATACTTTAGGTAAAGGACTCTGTGGTACTGGAAGGGGCAGGACTCTATAACGGGATCTGCCTGGAGGGCCAGGATGCGCCTCTGGCTACAGGAGGCCAAAAGACAGTTTTGGCCGGGGAGGAACTGCGGCAAAAGTTGCTGCAGTACCACAGCCAGTCTGGAGGGGTGAGCTGGGGTGGCAACTTTGCCACAAGAAGAAATTCAATAAAAATGAGCAGTCTCTGGCTTTTGTTCTGTGACTGGCTTGACACCAACAGTGCACCAGGCACTGGACGGTGTCCCCACAAAACGGCCACCACAGCTGGCAGCCTCAGTACAGAGGCTAGCAACCCAAGCGCCGACCCAGCAAAGCACTTAAGCCTGTAACTTAAAGCATGTGAGTATTGGCTTCAAGGGGACCCTTCAAGTGCCTAAACTTTGTATGCATGCCTAAGTGCTTTGCTGGTTCAGGGCCTAAATAGTCCGTGGAGACAGAACTACCCTCTTACACCATCCAGATTAGGGAGGAGACACCTTGCCAAGGGTGGCATGGAAAGGCTCCAGAGAAGAATAATGGCATTGTGGTGAAGGCACTAGACAGTTTCTGGAAACCCGAGTTCCATTCTACACCCTGTGTGACTTTGAGCAATTTGCATAGTCTCTCTCTGCCTTGGCTCCTCATCCTTTAAATGGGGATAAACCATGCTTTTCTCCCATGCTCTCTTGTCTATTTAGAGTATAAACTCTTTGGGGGAAAGGACTATCTCTACTAGGTATATGTACAGCACTCATGGGGCCTTATCTCAACTTGGGCTTATGGATACGAATGTAATATATGTAATCGCTGTTCTGAGCCACACAGAGGATGTCAGGCTGTGATGCTGGCCCATTTTGCTGACACTGTACATCAAATTTCCTCTCACCCCCTGGCTTTCCCCCCTACCCCCCACTGGATGGCCCTCTCAGCTTCCCTTGGGTTAACTGTGCTGTGTGGGGGAAGTACCTGTTATGTCAAGCTTGTTGCTTTCCACCAGCTACCCCTGCTGGGGTTGTGCTCCTTCCTAAGAGCACACGCTGGCACCAGAGGAGAAGGTGGGATGAGCTTTTCTCTGTGTGAAGTGATATAATCCTTTCATCTGGCATTAGTGCCTCGGACGGTAAGAGATCTATAATTGAGCCTCCCCCGATGCTGCAGCAGATATTTAAATCTCGTTTGTATAATGCCTGGTTACAATTCCTGCCGAGAGATTACTGTCCGCCTCCAGTACCCCTGAATGGAAACAAACAACTTCAAGCCATCCCAAAGCAGGGAAGAGAGTTACCGCACTTCTAGAGAGCACAAACACCTCAGGACAGCAGAGTCCCCAGAGGCAGGCTGTGCCAGATGGCCAGGAGTTCTTTGGTGTTTGCTGATGCTGCGGTGCGTTGGTATATTATTATATTCATTCTGTAATGCCTCAGTCATGGCAAATAGACAGGATGTTAGA